AATGTGAGACGGTTGGCACGTCTGGATGCAGCCTACATAGAGGCAGGGGATCCCAACGCTTGTTTCACGCCCCCCTTTTGATCAAAAAATTGTTTGTTCTTTTTTTTTTTTTTTAAAGGTTAATGAAGAGCAGGGCCTAGCCCAAGAACCCAATCAGCCAGAATGAACGCCAGGCAGCTGCCCCTTCCGGGCGGACCGGGGGAGGGGGATGACAATGCTGCTACCTCGCCGGCTGGGAAGGCTGGGGGCCAAAGGCCTGTAGTGCTTGAAAGGGCTTCAAGTGAATACTTGAAGGCTGAGCAGGAATATGAGCAGTCCAGGGATCTGCCTAGTGATTAGAGCCTTATATGTGCGCAGACAGTTAGGAGAAAGGAGCCTAGAGAGAACAAGTCAGGGGCCGGAGCATGACTACAGACGATCGGCTTTGCAGGCACAATCAACATAGCGGCGACATCTGGGCGCGCCCGGGATGGTGCATGCCACGCGGTGCCCAAAATGGCGGCCGCGATCTATTTGAAGCCAACGAACCCAGCGGCGGAAAAAAATTCTCCCAGGGAGAAGGAGAAGGGCCAGAGGGCCGCAATTGGTGGGAGAATCAGGGGATAGACTTCCCCTGAGCTAAAGACGTTCGTGGGGGGGAAACAGCGACCGGAAAAGGTGAGGCAGGAAAAAAGCGGCAGCTTCACGCTGAGCGAAGGAACGGCAGACGAAGGGGTGGGGGGGGCAGCGCTCGAAGTGCTAGATTCTGCCCCTAGAAGTGATTAAACAGTCCCCCCTGATAGAGAAGAAACCCTTAAGGAGTTCAAACCTCTAATCTGCGCTGCGAAGAAAGAGAGGGTCCAAAAGTAAAGAAATTTCAATGAATAGGAGTGCTGATCGACCAGAGCTGAGAAACAAACAGCCTGACTATCACGAGGCTGAGCTAAAAACTGGGGAGCGCCCAGAGGACCACGTGATGGTGAGAGGCGTTCCTCAATTTCAAGCTCAGCCTGTGAGAGCCGAGACTGGAGCACCTCCCAACCTGGACACTCGGAGCAGCTCTATGGAAAATTCTGTAATTCTAGTTCTTAGTGAATTGTTATAAAAAAAAAACATATATGAAGCTTCTATTTAAAAAAATGTTGGGCCCTAAGCTCTCTGAGATATATAACAAGAGGTAGAAAAATAGAGCAGTGGAAATTTGATGTCAGCCCTCCAAAGTAAACCAAACTTACAAACCAAAGACACAATAGCTATTACTACTTTTACTATAAGATGATAGTAACAGAACCTTGAAAGTCTGAATGCATCCCATTCCTCCACTCCACCCTCTTATCTTTGTAAGAATTTGAGAGGAACATGTTTGAGACACTTTCTCAAATTACATTTCTGCCCTGGACACAGATTCCTTTTATCTAACCCATTGTCTTGATTGCAGCTCTTCCTCCTATTCCTCAAGTTGTTCCTTACTGCACTGACTGACCTGATATAGAAATGGTAAATGGACAGGAGAGAAAACATTCAAAACTTGGATGGTTTAGATAATGAAAGGCCTCACAATTAGGGGATTCAAAAGCCATAAAGGGATATGTACATCCCAATTTTCATTGCTTAAAGTAATAGCCAGCCTTGTTTTTCCAAACACAGGTTAGGCAAAAGCCAAAACAACAAAGATATTTGTGTGTGTCTGTTTTCTGTTCAAGCAATATATATCTTCTGGGAAAGCTCAAATTGCATTCTACAACTGGTCCTTGTGTCCAATTAAAGAAACATTCTGTTCACATTTTTTTGCAGGTTACCTTGTAGTATTTTCTTGTCTAAATTTTTTAAAAAATATTCTCTTCTTTCATGGAAAGATCTCCTGGAATGATGACAGTTATTGTACATCAGAGATATTTTAGGTTTCTAGCAACAAATCTCAAATCTAATTGTCATTCTGGCCTACAGTATAGAGAAGGAAAACAAGAGCAACTAAACTTAACTGTAGGCCATGGAATCCTAACACATTGGATAATACAGAATTGTTTTGACAGCTGACTTAAACATGCTTCTCTTCAAGGATTTAAGAAAGATGTTTGGCTGTTTCAAGTTTTTCTATGAATGCAGATTATAGGATTGAGATTATGCATCTTTTAAATGGCAGAATAAATATAAAATTGCAGAAAATACAGTAACCAGACAATTTTTGCTTCCTAATCTTTTCTTTTTCATGGGGAGAGTCATCTTAAAATCATGGACTTCCGTTTCCTTTGGGATTAATACAAAATAGTACTAGGACTACCAACTCAGGTTTTTAACATAGTCTTAAAAAGCATGAGCCCCTTTACCTCAAATTAAACTATACTGTGTACCTTTGCTCTCACCCTGGTGCTTCTTAGGTGTGCACTAATTGCATTTCCCCAATTTGCAGTCCCAAAGAATTTGGTGGTGTTAGGATGGTGAAAGCTAAGCTTACTAATCAGCACCAAAGAGCAGCCCAGTCCAGATGTTATAGGCTTTTCCTGCCCCTGCTTAATTCCACAAATGAATGAGAGATTGTATATGCCAAGCATAAGTGCTCTACGTCTAACTTCAAACTCCCTTCATTGTCAAGCTTAAAAAGTCTTAAGGAACAAACTACTATAGTATCACCACCAAATTAGATTTTATTACTCGAAAGGTACTCTGAACATGAAATAAGATATACTTTACAAAAAAAGAAAAGGACATTAATATAGTTGAAAATAAACTAGAATCTTTTGCCCAGTCATGCTAAATTTCTCAGTTACCTTTTGAAACAATGCATATAGCATGTATGCATGACAGCAAAATTAAGTGTATCTTTATGCAAAATATTTCTTTCCCAGGATTATATTTCATATATCTAATGGTTTGTGACCTATTAAAACTTGTGATAATAAAGTGGTTCATTTGTAAGTTTTCACAAGATACTGTTTAAGATGCTTTATTTTCTGGAACTGACTAATCCAGAATGACAGCTATGTTGATCTGTTATAACAAGTGCACAAAGAATATAGGAGGATCAATAGACTTATTGTGTTATAAAAGCTTTTGTGGACTACAAAATATAATTTGACTATAAAAGTACAGTATACAACACAATAAATCTTCTCTGCTTAAGGATTCTTTTTGTACTGATTTATTAATGTAACTGCTATGAAGCAGTTATCTTTAAGAAAAAGCAAGCAACGGAGAATCCTAATATGGTAATAGCTTTTAACATGATATAACTCTTAGTATCTTCCACTCCTGAAAAAGAATTACAGGTGCAGATAATTTTGCCCATTAAAATTTAAATTTTGCCCATTACTTAAGCAAACTTATATAAAACATATGCTTGAGTTCTTACAATTTCAAAACCTAGAATAATTATAGCTTATAACTGACTGAACACCAGAATTTATGCTATTATCTTCCTCTCAGTGACCTGATTGTCAGGTGCAGTAAGTTGAACTTCCACACTATGAATCTATTTCCTTTTAATCAATTACTACTTTTCCAATCCATTCACACCAACTTAAAACTCTAAGGTACATTTCAACACATACACTAAGTAAAAGGAATGCCTTTGTATTAGCTACTACAGTCAAAATGTCACCCCTACAATCCTTATCAGCTTAAGCCATAGTTCTAAACTCTTATATCTTCCCTGAATGCCCCACAAAAGTTCCTAGCTACCTTATGAATACAGAGAGCTTGTGAAACTTAGAGAAGTATTTAGACTCCAGGGATTTTGCAAATCTTCCTTTAGATTTAAAAAGTTCTAAATAAGTACTTTTTTTGCAACGTTTTCAAATAAAAGAATCTGTGGCATAATTGCAGGAATGGAGAAAAGGTCACTAAAGGAGGGACTTGAATGAAATACAAAATCTTTATCTAATTCTTCTGAATGACCACTATCTGTACTTTCCACATTTCATTCTGCTCTCCTTATTGTGACTATTTCTATCTGCCTCTATAACAGGTAGTCCTCGACTTACGACCCAATTGAGCCCAACATTTATGTTGCTAAGTGAGAAATTTTTAAGTGAATTTTGCCCCATTTTACAACTTTTCTTGCCAGATTTGTTAAGTGAATCACCGCAGGTTGGTAATTCACTTAGGTTGCTAAGTGAACCCGGTTTCCTCATTGATTTTGTTCATCAGAAGGTTGCAAAAGGTGATCACATGACCCCAGGACAATCCAAGTGTCATAAATATGATACAGCTGTCAAACATCCAATGTAAATCAGGTGACCATGGGAATGCTATAATAAGTGTGAAAAATGGTCATGTCTTTTTTCAATGCTATTGTAACTTGAAACTGTCACCAAGTGAACTGTTGTAAGTAAAAGACTATCTGTACTGCTCTATGTGAGTGGATATTTCTATCTCAAAGGAAATGAATGCATTCTGTACCTTATGAAATGGTACATCCACATAAGCTGAAAGCATAAACAATGTATTATTTGATGTTTCTATTGTAACAAATCAAAATAGTTATCTAAAAACCACAGCAAATTTTAAGGACATCGGAAGATACAGACAACAGTGCATGTGTGAATTTACAACATTCAGCATTAACCATTTATTTCCACCAAAATGTTTCCTGCAGTTTCTCAACAACAGTTCTCCGGTTTTATAAAGTGATTCTCTAGGGAAGAAGACAAGGAATTCAAATATAGGGAGATGTGTTCACACAACACATTAATTGGTTTACCGAATTAACTGGGTTTTCAGTACCCACTGGACCATAACACTATCAGCCCACTACATTTCAAGTGTCAGGTACGGCCCAGTTCCTCACCAGGCAAGCACAATCAAAGAAAACATTGGATGAACGCTTGGGAACCGCACCTGGCATGAACTTCCCCATGCAATGAACTCGCACGCTTAACGGAGGGTAAACCGAATGACGCGCCCCACAGCCCGGATAGTTCTAGATATGCTCATCTAGCCCGCTAAAGCCTGAAGCAGCGCACAATGCACCCTGGGAGTTGTAGTCTAACTGCAAGAGAAGCGGGGGCGGTGTCCAGTCCTACCTGCTCCGCCGAAGTGAGGGTCCGAACTCCGTCGTCGTTCAGCCGCTCCCGATACGCGTCCCCGCTCCCGCCACACTGATGGCGCCTTCTCTCGGCGCCGCCGTGCTGGGTGGAAGCTGCTGCTGCTGCTGCTGCTTCTACCTCCGCCGCCGCCGCCATGCTCTTAGAAAAGGGCTCAATCCGCACGAACAATTCCGGCTGCCCGAAAGGCAATGGGCTTAAAACTCAGCTACGGCAGCCCGGAGAGGACAATGGTCTCAACGCGCAGTTATCGTTTAATTTTGCTGACCTTGCTTTCAGGCGCTTGCGAAATAGCTATGGCTCGCTATCGACCTCACGTGGCGTGTCGTTTGATCTCTCATTTCCAGTGGGGCCCAAATACTGGTATTAAGTTAGACACAATAAACGACTCACCTGGGTTATGTGGAACGAATGGAAATTCTTCCTTGCTTGTGACCTATACAGATAATGCTCGAGTTACGACCATAATCTTGAGGCCAAAATTTATGGTGCTAAGTGAAACATTGGCTAAGTGAGTTTGCCCCATTTTACGCCTTTTCTTGTCACAGTTATTAAGTGAATCACTGCATTTGTTAAGTTAGTACCATGTTAAGTGGCTCTGGTTTCCCCATTGACTTTGCTTGTCAGAAGTTTGCAAAAGCTAGTCACATGACCCCAGGACACCAACCATCTTGGTATGAACCAAGTATCTGAATTTTGATCATGTGACCATTGGGATGCTGCTAAGGCTTTGTGAAAAACTGATACTGTAACTTTGAATGGTCACTAAATAAACTTGTAAATCGAGCACTACCTGAACTGTTTTGTTTTGTTTTTTGCTGGATTTAAAAAAAAATGGATGGATTTGGTTTCCTGAGTTAAGCTACATTGGCTTACATCACATAAACCATATTATGGCCTAGTGTGCTTGACTTCATAAGTACACTAAGCTTTACTGTAGTTTATTTTATTTTGGTTTTGTGTGTGGAGGAAACCCAGCCAATTATATTTTATTCAAAAACACAGTTAAATCTAATTGAGTATGATGCAAAATTCATAAATATACTTTATGCCAGCATGGTACATAACTCATAACTTATAATTAGGTGCGTGGTGTGAACCAAGAAAATATTTATCCATAAATTCTAGTCAAGCAAATTATGGTTAAGCTTTATAGTATAGAGTATGTCCTTTTATTAGCTTGATTAGAAGAGTATTTTTCCCTTTCCACAGATTGATTTATATTAGAAGGAAGAAAAACCAAATTACTTAGGATTTAATTGTTGTTTAACATGCCTTTACTCACACAGCTATTATATTAAGTAGATTAGGCCTTCTGTAAACCTTTAAACAGACTGCTTTGCAATACATTTCTTCCTGGCATAGACAGGTGGCACGTGGGAAGAAATCCATTTGTTCAAGTTGTAAAATTCCAGTTTTATGCTCTTTAAAGCTCACCTTGTTCCCTGTCTTTAAGCACGATGGGACCAGGAGAATGATTTCATATAGATGGAACAGGGTTTTTTTTTTTTCAGAATAGGGTAACCTTGTTTAATATAGATCAGAAAACAGCAGAGTTCCAATGAAATATCAAAACTGATAGAAATATAATTTTATCACAGTTATAAGAACTGCATTTCATATTTCTGACTTTACAGGGATTAAAATATATATTGACATTAATATTATTACCCTTAGTTGATTCCCTCAACTCGGTATCTTCCAGATATGTTGGTCTTTAATTTCCAGTATTCCCACAGATAAGGAAGGAAAGGAAACATAATCCAATACACATAGATTATGCTCATGTATGTTGTGGCAGACAACTGCTCACCTACACTGAGGTACTGTTATTAGAAGGATGAAGAAGCTTGCTTATTTGTTGAGTTTTAATGCTTACACTGCTCATTGTTATATGTTTGTTTTTCAAAATGTAATCAATAAGGGATAGCAGAAGAAAGGATGGATGGACAAATGCTGTGGAGCATAGCACTAATACCATTAAAAACTAACATAAAATATATTTGGAGCTGGAAAGCAATTATGGAGGAAGTAAAACATAACACTACAACATGGGAGTGCTAAATGTAGAAGAGAACCAAAGAGAGAGAGAGAGAAAACAAAAGAACAAGAGAAAAGACAATTCCAGAGAAGCCAAATAAACTATTTTCACTGAAGAAGACATGTGGTAGATGCCAGTCCTTGAACTGGTATCTTTAGAAATGAAATGTGATTTGGCAGCATTACTACAAAACCTACAATTCTCACCACAATATTACAGAATAGTGTATTTGCTTATCCTCCAATATTATCTTTGTGCTCAAATGTCATTGCATTTGACATTTGACAAAATTACCATTTTTAATACAAATCTGACATCAAATAAACCAGTAACTTACAAGCAGCAAATAAATATTTCACCTCCGCAGGACACTGACTTTAATGTGCCTAAACTTGAAAAAACAAAGGTCAGTTGTATCAAGAAATATTTGAACTAAAAGTTATCAGTTTAACATTTATCAAATATTAAACAGATAAACATTTCCTATTACATATTGATAATATGTAGATGTGTTTGTATCATACATAATTGTTATTTTTGAGTTATCAGTAAATGTACTCCTTGTGTAGTATAACATTTCCAAGTTGCACTCAACTTCTGACTACTTCATGAATATATCGTTAGTTTCAGGGGTAGGATTCTACCAGTTCGCACCTATTCACTAGAACTGGTTGATAACATTCCAAGCAGTTCAGATAACTGGTTGTTAGAAGAAATTACTGGCCTAATCCTGTAAGGAAGGCAGGAAGGAAACATTCTGGTGTTACTTACAGAAACTGCCTCTCCGTTAACCCTTATTACATTCTTGGCAGGACTAGACTTCCTGTCTCAGGAATGTCTCTGGAGTTTTTTTCCCCTCCTTTGCTGGTACTTTGCTTGTGTGGAGTGACCATTCAAAGTTACAATGGCATTGAAAAAAGTGACTTATGACCATTTTTCACACTTACGACTGTTGCAGCATCCCCACAGTCATGAGAGGCCAGACGAAATAAGTGCCTCGATGTGAGTAATATTAAGTTGGCCACGCCCAGCCAGTCACAAGACCACCAAGCTACGTCCACCCAATCACATGACCACCAAGCCACGCCCACCAACTAAGTCACACCCACAGAACTGGTTTTTTTAAAAAGTGAATCCCACCCCTGGTTAGTTTTCTTGGCAACTGAACAGAAGAGCTTTAGCACAGAATGATTTCTAGGTTATTTTCACTTTGAGTTTAGCCTATAGTACTAGTTCTAGCCAAGTACAAGTATCCTAACCAAATACTAACCAGGCCCAACTCTTTTTCAAAAAAATTATATGCCATCTATCTTACTAACCAAAATGACTGGATGTTTTAAATTTTTAATTTCTGAATCCAGAAAAGTCATTAAAATGCTGCCACAGCCACTGATTTTATAATCACATCTATGCATGGTAACTTTTTACAACTTTTAATTGGGCAAAATGGTGCCTCAAAGAGCAAAACCTTTTGAACACTAGAACTTCAAATGGGCTAATTGACAGAATTCATCCAAAAATCAGAGACCCATGAATATCATGTGATGTTGAAATTTGGCAAATTTTATAAAATGTTTATATAACATAAATGTCAAATATAAAACGTGTATACAAAATGTTTTATGAGTTGACTCATAAAGTATCAGTATCTCAGAGTTGGCTATGCCCAGGTAAATGCTGGACGTAGAATGTTATCTTCAAATAAATTTTTTTTAGTTTTGGCAGTGTGGCTCGAGGCTCATGATTTAATTGGAGTAACTGCCAGAATTCTGACAATAAAATTATCATAAATGCAAATGTCATAAAATATTTCCTGTGGTCAATTCCTGATGTTTGACTATGCTATACATTTCAAGATGGGCTATTTTCAAGGTAGATACATCTCTGAATATCTCTGTGAATGTTTGAGAACTTTTCAAGAACATTAGAAGCTCTGCTATTGTTGAAGGCATTAAAGAATCTGGTAAGGAAATATCTCTGAAATGATGACCCAAGGGATCAGAGGTATGTGGAGTGTGATAATACATTTGTAAGATGTTAAGATCACATGAGTCATATTTGCTGCAGAAGACTCATGACTCCTTACTGTGACATGTTGATAACAATAGAAATTATCCTTTCTTTGTTCAGTGTGAAAAACTGAATATCCATTATATGTGAATGGGATATGCCAGTGGTGGCTAACCTTTTTGGACTCCTGTGCCAAAAATCGTGCATGCGCTTGCACTCGCATGCCAGCACACAGAAGGCAATGTGTAACCCCCCCATGCCCCCTACGCATGCAATCCTCACCCACCTCCGCTGCCCCCTTACCTGCACTGTGCCTCACAGCTCATTTTCGGCCAGTTTGAGGCCTTTTTCGGCCTCCCAGAGGCTTGAGGAAGGCTTCTGCAGGCTTCTGCAAGCCAAAAATTAGGCCCGTTTTATCACTTCCGGTATTTTTGGAAAAACAGGAAGTAATGAAATGGGCCAAGGTTTTGGCCTGCAAAGCCTGAGAAGCCTGCAGAAGCCTTCCTCAAGCCTCTGGGAGGCCAAAAAAGGCCTCAAACCGGCCAAAAATCAGCTGTGAGGCATGCGCATGCGCAGTGAAGTAAGTTTGCATGCAGCTCGCATGCCAGTACAAATGGCTCTATGTGCCACTTGTGGCATGCATGCTATAGGTTCGCCATCACGGGGATATGCAAACCAATCATAGGATGATTTTTATGACATCTAAATTTACTAACATAATTTGGCAAAATAGGATTGGTTTTTCAAAATCAAAGTAAGATATGTTCCCCATGCTAACCTCAGTATTATTAGTATTTTTGTGTATAATTTTAAAATCTATAGGGATTTCACAATACATAATACTGAACCTACAGGTTAGATGGTCTACAAACTAAGGAAATGATGTAGGAAGTAAATCAGAATTGTGATTTATTTCAGTTAGTACATCTTTCCTCAAAGATGATGATTTGACTAGGTCAGGAGTGTCAAACCCGATTGCATTGCGGGCCATATCATGATGTATCGGGGTTGGTTTTTGCCCTTGCAGGGCTGGGGTGAATATAGGCTGCGTGGGCTGTATCTGGGTCGTGGGTCATGTGTTTGATATGCCTGGACCAAGTAATGAGAGGTATTGATACTTGGAAAACAGTGAAAGCTGTTTTAGGGTTTA